AATTGAAGTTCAAGGCCTTCTCATGTAATTATTCAAACAGAAATGCTACACACCCCCAACGTACGTTCCTGCCCATGTCGTGGCAGCTTACATGGCTTTCCCATGTCATTTTAATTTTTTTAAAATCTCCAAATTCTAAACTCCTAAGAGTATGATTGGGTTGAAGGAAGGAAGGGAAAAAAATTTTTTAATTTAGTTATCAAAAAATTAAAAGGGAAAGAAAAAAAATTATTTTATTTCTTTATTTAATTATTCAAATGAGGTGAAGGAAGTGAAGGGGCTCCCCTCCCTTTGTCAAACATAAAATATATGCTAAATTCTATACCTAAACTCTAAACTTAAAACCCTTACAATAATATTTAGTTTTTTTTTTTTTTACAATAATATTTAGTTTTAAAAAATACAAATAAAAATGACAAGAAAAGGCTATGGAGGCTACATCACGTTGTGCACAGAATTGTGCAAGAAACGTATGCCCAGCGTTTTCCCTAATCAAAAGAAAAGGGAAGGGAAGGGAAAGCCTAAAAAATATCTCAATAGTTAAAAACATAAATTTTCTTATTAAAGGTTATCTCCTACTAAAAAACAAAAGGAAAAGAAAAGGATATCATTTTTTTTTTCCAGCAAGATCTTAAAAAGAAAACGATACCAGGTTTCCCATCTATCAATTTAGGGTTTAGAAAGGATGGTAGCAAGTGTTGCAATCAGAACAGAATCCTGAAGAAGGAACAAAACGCGTTAGGCACAAGTGCTGTCTTCGAAGGAACATAAGCATCTCACCTTTTCAAATTAACCCATCTGAATATTCCACCTTTGCCTAATACCTTGAAATGAAACATCTAATCTTCTTAGTCATGATCCATGCGTCACTTGTTGCTGCTTCCAAGCTGAAGCTCTTTGATATTTATTTGGTTAAGTTCCCATTTTGGTCCCTCAACTATTATAGGAACCCTTAATTTAGTCCCTCAACTCAAAAATCTTTAATTTGGTCCCTACTGTTTACCATTTTAACTTCAATTTGGTCCTTTTGTTAAAAATCTTGTGACGTGGCCTGTTAATTCATGGGTACATGATGACATGTCAAATACTAATACAAGTGGAAGACTATGACAACAAAAATGATGACACGGCAAAAATAACAATATAAAAAAATATTAATATGAAAAATAAAACTTAAAAAAAATTTTCTTTTTTTCTTTTTCCTTCTCTTTCCCCTTCTCTTTCCCCTTAAAACCTAGCATGCATGGGTTCCTTGGGACCCAAGTCTTGGGTCCAAAGGGCAAAAAATAAATTTTTTTTTTGTGGGTTTTGTTTTTTGATGATAATGAAAAATTGTTTGATGAAGAAGGCAAGGCAAGGAAAAGGAAGGAGAAAAAAAAGGTGCCTATTGTGTTTGATTGAATCTAAACACTAGGTTCCTTTGAACCCAGCACACTTGGGTTCAAAAGAATCCAAGGGCAAAAAATTTATAAAAAAAAAAATTATTTTTTTGTGAATTTTGTTGTTTGATGATGACGAAAAACCTAATAAAGGTAGAAATTGATTAAGATGTTAGAGATTGGTTGAGATGTTAGGGTTTGGAGAAGTTGAAGAAAGGGAAGAGGAAAAAGAAAGGGAAAGACGAAAAAAAGCTAAAACAAGGATTTTTCTTTTTTTTGGTGGAATGAATTAGAATAGCCATGTCATTTATTTTGGCCAACCTGTCAATTTTTGTGTCACGTAATGCTTCTTCTGTCTTCTTCCGTCAATTAACATGAAAAAATTAGCAGAAAGACCGAATTGGGGTTAAAATGGTAAATAATAAGGACTAAATCAAGGATTTTTTGAGTTAAAGGACTAAATCAAGGGTCCATACCATGGTTGAGGGACTAAAATGGGGTTTAACCTTTTTTTTTTCTTTGATTCTTTTTCTATAGTGACATTGATTTACTGCATTAAGGGAACATAATACAAACAAAAAAGGCGTCGTGCAGAAAAGCTCAGCTCACGGGGGCCCGACTGATCATGAGGCTCCCAGTTGTGCAATTCACGTAGAGGGACTACCAAACAATGCCCTCTAATAATACATATGCGTGCGTGCGCGATGTCCTGGAGATACTTACGACCAAAGAAGAGGAACAAAACAAATATGCACGGCTTCTCATTTCTCAGCTTAATTTGCACAATACTTGCAAACTGTAGATTATAACATAAATCGTGTAACACTACGACAATCTTTAAAAACAGGAAAATAAAATAAATAAAATACAACACATTTATAAATTTTATGTAATAGCCAAACCTTTTGTGAACCTCGAAAAAGCATGATGCTGTGGCAAAGTAGAAGAATGAAGTCGAATGTCTCCAAAATAAAGAAGGGAAGAGAGTTCAATTCTGAACTTCAATCCTCATTGCCTCATTAGATTGGTTTACTGTGGTCATTGAAGGTGGCTTGGTGACAGCAAACAAGATGTCTGCATATCCAACCACCCCAACTAAAACATCATCGCTTTCATCTTCAGTCACCCACACATGGGTTGCCCTATGAGAAAGCATTTGAGCCATGACTGCAGCCAAAGAACTTGTAATTTTACATGTCAATGGTGCACTTCGCCCCCGATACATGCTCCTCCCAATCCCGAAACTTGAGCTTCCTGGATTGAACCCAATGCTCCTGCTACTGAATTTCATTTGCCTTGGTGAGCTAATTCCATTAGCTACATTATCATCCTGAACAGATAAATTAACTGGAAAGTCCGGAAGTAACCTAGAAGTCACATTATCCTCAACCCCCATT